TTATTGTAATGTTATAGCTATAAAATGCATTTGTGGGAAACTTCTTATATTTAATTTCTTCTTTATATATTTTATCGGTAACACTTTATTTGAAGGGGGTTGAATAAGACTGACATAACACCTGTCATGAACATCAATAAGCCTTCATAAATATTTGTGACTGTTGTCATAAAGCATCATTCGGTAAATTATGACACTTTTAATACAAAGTTGACATTATTCAAAATGTCTTTGTTATGACAACTTGACATTAACCAAGAAATCATTACTGATATAAATTTGTTATAAAAGTATTACTGATTGCACTTTAAAAATTAGGTAACTTTATGTTATTAAAGGTAAAGTTTAAACAGTAATGATTTCCTGGTTGATGTTAAGTTGTCATAACAAAGACATTTTGAATAATGTCAACTTTGTATTAAAAGTGTCATAATTTACCGAATGATTTTTTATAACAACAGTCATAAATATTCATGAAGGCTTATTCATGTTCATGACATGTGTTTTGTCATGTTTATGAAAGTGTCATGACAGTCTTATTCAACCCCCTTCAAATAAAGTGTTACCATTTTATCCACAACTGGTACTTCTCTAGACTTTTTAAAACATTATAGGATTTCTCCCTATAAATAAATGTTTTATTAATCATAAAACAATGCCATTTTTATTCTTCATTAAAGTACATCACTACCAAACTACATGACATTTTTTAAAAATTTGTTTCTACTTTTGAGAAATGTCTGCACTTAGGGTGATTGAAATTTAAATAAAATAATAATAATAATAATAATAATAATAATAATAATAAAAAGGCGTTAAAGGTGAAAATTAGTTATTCTTAATTATTCAGTGGAGAGTTTGGGTGCTAAGTGAGCAAACGCTGACCTACTTTTGACAATCATGTATTTGTGGAAGCATTGAAATTGTTGATCTGCATTAAGCAACAGAAATAACTCCTATTTAACTCAAATAGTAAATGACACATCGTGTATAGAAACTGGCAAAAATATTCTCCTTAGTTTGATCCTACAGAGAATCGCAGGGATGTGCAACAGAAAACTTTCCAGCGCCCTCAACAACACGTGGTACTCCTGGTAAAGTCAAAGAGAAAAAAAAAACTTTAATCAAACTAACAAGTGGAAATAATGACAAATCCATCTTAAGGTTTTTTTTTTTTTGCACTTAAAAAAATAAGATTGCGAGACTTCCAAGCTTACTGAAATGACTTGAGCAAAAACAGATGAAAAGGAGTTTATTTTAAATAAATACTGGTATTATTTTAACTCATGTTTAATTTCTATTATTACTTTTACCCGTATTAATTTTTTTATGACACAGCAGTGTCATTAAGGCACTCCGTCCTGCATGCTTTAGATGTTTCCCTGCTTCAACACACCTGATTCAGATGAAAAGATAAACAAATAACGTTACCTCAGTGTAACATCAGATCAGGATATCTAAAACAGGAAGTCTGAGGACGGTTTCTGCAGTGTCCTAAACCGTAAAGAAACTCCACGCTGCCATAATGTGCACAGACACATGGAAAATATTATTCCTTTTTATAAATATATCAGCCATACTGCCACTGCCTGGAGCAACAACCCCAGCAGATGTAGTAGCCAAACATAAAAAGCTCCAGAGTATACACCCACCCCTTCTCCTCCGCCTCCCTGGCAGTCTCCATCCCTCTGGGCCGTTTCTGAGAAGGACACAGCCTTCACTGTTTGTACAGATAAACTCTGGACAGACAAAAAAAAAACATTTTCCTTTTATTTGTTTTTGGGGTTTTTTCTGCCTCTGCCTCAGATATGGCCGGGTGGTGGAGTAATCTGGGGCTAAGCGGTATAAATGCCCCCCCAACCCTCACTCTCTCCCTCCCAATCTCCAGGATCTCTTGTCTCCATTCCTGCGATGCTTTAAGCGCCGCGTCCGAGCGATGAGCATTCCATTCCACAAGTAACTACAAGTAAAATACCACGCCGCAATCATGGGACGTCCTGTGCTGCTGACCAAAATACAGACCCTCAAACCGAGCAAAGAGCGAAAAACACGAACGGACGACTTAAACCTGGATGCAGGTGAGAAGAGAAACAAAAAGTATCCACAAGCAAAGGAGAACAAAACAAAAAAACATTTCATGCAGGCATATTTTCACATTTAATCCAAACATCCCAAAGCTCATCATCATACAAAGTGTTTCATTTACCTCAAGTCTTTTTTCAAATAACTTCAGTAACATAGTGACAACTCTTTTTGTTTTTTTTAACAAGCCCACAAAACAAACTCCCCATGACTCCACGTTTATTGCAGTTTACATAGTTGCCACTAGGTGTCAATGTTAGTCAAAGAGCTTTGGCTGTAAATGGTTAAAACTCACAAAGCTAAAAGAAGAAGAGCATTTCTTAAGTTTTGATGTATTGACGCACTCAAAAAAAAGGACAAAAACTGCCGTCTCAGTCCAAATATTTAAGAACCTGCAAAAATATTAAAACAAGATCATTTCCAGCCTCTCTGCTTCTGTTGCATTGTGGGATGTGAAGAGGACAGAAATAACCAGAGAACCAGCCAGAGCAGACAGATGTGGACACATCGTGTCACAATAAAAACACTGAGAATTAAACCACTGTTGTGGTTCTCAAGCTGTGGTGCAAGAGCCACTGGTGGTACATGGGTCGTCATCAGAACTTAAATCTAGCAATCAATTCGCTCTGGTCCAGATCCACCTAGAACTTTTTAACAAATATGCTCAGGGGCAAAGCTAGCTGAAGTTAGCAATTCAAGCTAATAGCGAATGCAACATGCTCACTAAAGGAGGTTGGTGCAGTTTGTATGTGTGTTGTTGGGTGACAAATATAATAGAGTATTAAAAAATTAACTATTTTAAAAGGTAACCATGATGGATTTTGAAGTTGGGGTCAGCAAAAAAAAAAAAAAAATGGCCACATTTCCTCACATGGAATTGCGTTAAAACTTTAAACTTTAATAAATGATGGGTTGCATCTTGCAACCCATCATGCAGTGAGAAAATCTGTTTTAATAAGAGATGCATCAATCCGCCTGTTAAGAGAACGGATTGGACCGTTCCCCTCCAATGGGTTTGACACACAACTGCCATTTTAAAAATATAAACACAACAACCATCGAAACCGACTTAAAAAAATAGATAAATGTTAAAAAAAAATTAAAAATCACATCCACAGAGAAAAGAAAAAGTATTTGGCAGGTTGAACCTCAAACCAAACATCAGTACATGCCAGGAAAAATCTAATTGTTATGATAAAAGATGCACCAAACTGGCAAAGTCCAGACTTATAATACTATTGCTTTAAGATGCAGTTATTACAAGAATGATAACTGTTAGCCAGTAGGGACTGATTGATTGTTTCAGTTTCAGTCCCAGTTTTACAACAGACATCTGAGCAGAGGCAGCCTCTGTAAATGTAAACACTTAAGAGCTCAGTGATTCCTGTGGATGCTCCCTGACAGGCTACCTTTAAACCTCAGAGGGAGCTGCTGCAGAGGCACTCTGCTGCAGCAGCTGCTGCAGAGGCACTCTGTTGCAGCAGCTGCTCAGCTCCAACAACTACAGATGTGACACCAACCAGCTCCATTAAACACAAATACACCATGTCTGAGTGGGAGAAGACTACACAATGCAACTACTGGCTCAAAAAAGAAAATAAATTACAATTAAGTGAGGTTATTTTAATCCAGTGAGGCGTCATGTTCTTCTAAAGGTAGCATTAAGTTAAAGCTAAACGGAGATTGAAGGAAGATTCAACATTTTGCTTATCGATTCACTTTAGTGTTACTGAAGAAGTAATTGTTCACAAAAACTGTTTAGACTTTACTGTAATCTCTACATTTGTTTCCCAGACTTTTTTTTTCTTTTAAAGTTACAAAACGGTGTTAATAGTGAGGTTTTAGGAAGCCCCGTGGCCTTCTCCACTGTACCCCAGGCAGGGCTGGAGGGGGAAGAGAGGGGACTGAGCGAAGCTACACATTCCAGTGCTGGGAAAAAAAAGAGGAGGCTGTTCTGGTAGCCCCCCAAACAGGCTTAAAACTCAATGAAAACACGTTTTACATTCTTAAACCGTACCACATCCTCAGCGAAGGAACTACTTTAGCAACGAGTCGCGAAATATGTCACACCACCACTCCCCTTCCCTGAAAAAGTAACTCTCAACTTACCATGTGATAGAAGGAATAAGGAAAAGTCAAGACTGGGGTGCAAATTCCGTTAAAAGTCGACTTCTGAAGGCCGCTAAGCGCCGACACAGAGTGGAGGAGGTCGGAGAAGACGGAGCAGCGGCGTAAATATGATGAAATGAGCCTCCATTTTCTGCCTAGACTCCAGGCAGGATCAGAAATGCAGCACAAAGTTGGACACTCGCTGCATTGTTAACATTCCACAGGTCACGTGACGGACCAACGCACGTCAGCACCGGAGCAGAGATCGTGTATTAGGAGAAACATTCACTCCGCCTATGATTTGCCGTTGTTAAATCACAATCCTTCAGCCAGATGCGGCGTAGTGATATTTGAAACATAGAAACGTTATAAACAGAGAATAATGATAATGAAAGGGAAATGTTATAAAAAGTGAGTAGGACAGTTCGATGAAAAAGAATCTACTTATTTTTAACAGATTTGGTTTTCTATTCTGTTCCATTTCAGATTTTCACATATTTCAATTGTACTTTTAAATTGCGTGAAATAAAATTGCAAAAATAATAGTATTTATTCTTATTTTAGTACTTTTTCTATGCCAATGTAGAAATATTGAATGTATTATGTAATTGAATGTATTTATTAAATACATTCAATATTTCTACATTTTCATAGAAAATGTTTAATTTTTGGGAGCTAAAAAGAAAAAAATAAAACTTATATTTTAAATGAATTACTGGACTGAATTTGACCTTGAACTTGGATTAAAATTTACATCTTTATACCCTTGTCTTTTTTAAGACAAAACATTTTGTCTGTGTCAGATAACATGCATCAGCAGCTGTAGTTAGCATAGCATATATATTACATTATGCATCTACAGAATAACATCAGGACAGAAGTGGGAGTCTGAAGGTTTCTTTATGAAAGCCTCCATTTCGTTTTAAATTAAGCGTTGGAGTGAGCCTTCTTCATTTTTTCCCATCTGACCGCACATACTCAAGGTGGAGCCTCCACAAGCATTTGTTTTCTCTTTCATAAATTAAAAGAAATCCATACATTACTCAGTCACTCCACTTCGGCCACAGAGGGAATATTTACCAATCTGTCAGAGACAACATGACACTGAGAAATCCACGCCTCTTCAACCTATTTTTGTTTCACCAAACACAGAAGAGGAGCACAAACACACTTCTAAAATAAAAACGCAGTTTTGAAAAGGCAGATGCAGAGTTGTGCCAAACTTTAATTTCCAGTCACGGAGGCCACATCACAGAGTCAGGGTGAAACTTTAAACTTTAACAAGGAAGCACATACAGTCAGAACAGAAAGGGTACAGCATGAACATGGAAAAGCTCCTTTTATTTTGAAACTAGCTCATCAGGAAAGAATGGTGTTTCTAGGAACCATAACCCCCCCTTTACAGAAACCGAATGAAAACTGGTCTTACAAGTGTATGACAGACTTTCCCCAGTATCTCCCTCTTGAGCAGACAGCCCGAGGTGCACAGATGTGAGCGGATGCACATTCTGAGCCCAAAACTACTTCTGCCTACGAACTTCCACCTGCTGAAACTCAGCAACTGGACTGAGTTAGCCAGAGTTTAGGTGAAAAATCTTCCCAAATCCATTTTAAGACCCGATTTCCAGACGTTTTCCAACAAGAATTACCAAAAATAAACTCGGTGTCTAGTCAACCAAGTGGATTACGCACACATTGCTTTAGTGGAAAACAAGAAAAGCAATTTAAGAATGGATGCCAAAGTTGAGCAAATGTCTAAAAAGGGTACAAAGATAGCTAGCTATGCAAAGCTAGCTATCTGTAGAAAACAGAATGATCTGCAACGTCTTCACAAACTAAGGCACAAGAAATGCAAAAGTTTTTTTGTTTTGTTTTTTTAATATTAGGTACCATGAAGAGCAGGTCTTCATACCACACGTCTCAACTGAACTACTCAACAGTAACTAATGTGCGCGGCCCGAACCAGCTAGTTACGGCTAATTATTAGATAACGCTGTGGTTAAAACCTTTGAGAATTCATTTCACATGCATTCCCTGCTGAAGTTCATGTGCTTGGCAGAAGAAAAAAATAACATAGTTCACCCTCATCAAAATATCCTTTGTCAAATTACAGTATACCACAAAGAAAAAAAAACATACAGCTAATTAAAACAAGACAATAAAATTGCCATCTCGATATTTGGGCAGACAATTTACACAAAAGAAAGGACGACATTTAATTTACTTGTTTAATGCAGTCTGACTGCAGGAATTAAAGTACGGACAACACGTTTCAGAGCAGAGTGCTTTGTTCTGCTCCCCGAATTATAGTGTATAACCAAAGCAAATCAGAAATAATGAAAAATGTCCCTCAAATATGTAACTTTACCAACAGCCTTAAAATGGTATCACCGTTAAAAGCTTATGTTCTGGTCTAGCTTAACTTCTGCAAAGGAGGACTGTCCAAAAAAAAAAAAAAAAAAAAAAAAAAAAAAAAAAAAAAAAATTTTTCGAGCTGTTGCATGAAAAGAATTACAAAAAGGAAAAAAAAAATTATCTTAGAA